ATCACTATCCACTTGACCAGATTTATGTAGACCCAAAGGGTCATTGCTTCGCAATAATTATTTACTTACGCAGTTATCTCAATTTCATGCTGTCCACATTTAATAAAATAAGATCCAGCTTCATATCTACCTCTTATACTCTTCTCATCCTTATGACTCAACTTGCATGCCGGACATAATGACCCCTCATGAATTCCATAATAATCAAATTTTTTACTACTAAATTCTTTATATAGATCAGAATAACTCCACAATATCTTATTATGAAAATAAGCACAGTCACGAATCGGATCATTCTGTTTTGGTATACTTACCTTGGTTTCTAATGATTCTTCTAGAGTTATACCTGGTAATTTTTTTGAATCTACAGAAATAGATGAGTTTGCCTTTGGTAAAATTTCGTCGTGAAGTTCCTGACCAACGGCCAGGATGTCACGTGTTTTTTCCGTAACTTGTTTTATAATATTTAAAATTTGAGCATCAGTTAATTCTGATATACTTCTTACACCATATGAAGTTCCGTAAACTTTGTCGATTCCGATCCCTTTAATTTCTTCTTTAGTTATAGGATCGGTAATTTTTCCAAACAGTTTATAAACATTCCCAGCTCTCTGAGTCTTTTTATATAAATTCGTTTCTGATACATTGGGTAAAGAAGCTCTAATAATAGCATAAACTTGATTTTTTGCAGTTTTATCAGAAACGCCAGTTTTGGAGCGTATATCAGCAACGCTGGTTTGATAGGCTTTTCTGTAAGTATACCAGCATATTACCTCTTTTTGCTTAGCCTTTATCGTTTTGCCTTCTGCAAATTCAGCATCAGAAAATAATTGGGCCAACTCTCGTCCATCATTGTTTATTTCTATATTACTATCGTGGGTTTCAGAAATATTAGGTTCATTTTGTGAGTATGCTTTTTCATCACTCGATAAGGTAAGAGATTTTTTAATAAACAGGATTACTTCTTGAATTATATCTTGTTCTATTTTCTGATTACGGGGCATTTTTATTTGAATAATAGTCTGCGAAGCAGGACACTCTATGTCTGAATTGCCTTCTATAACTTTATCAGATGACAAAGGGTCTTGGGATCTAAGCTTCTTTTCGCGATTCCTTTCCTTTATTTCGTTCCTAATCTGTTCTTTATGCACTCGTTCCAGAAATTCGATCTTTTTATCTTCAGAAGATTTAGACTTTGCGCATATGGGTGATATCGTGCATTGAGGATTTGTCGGATTTGTCTCCTGGCATATATTTTCAGATAATTCTGAAAAAGCGTTATCAGATACATCAGAATTTGAAACGTTATTAGTAATATCAGATGGAGGAGTATTATCGCATCGTAAGTCTATCCGTTCATAAGTATCATTCGAATTTTTCGTTTTGGTAAAAACACTTACCGTCTCATTTTTGGCTGATGAGGAAATTGGTAATTGCTCTGGAGAATCGGTGGTTATTCCCTTTGATTTGATTTCCTCGAAATCACTTCTTAATTTTACTACTTCAGTTTTAAGCTCAGCATTCTCAAAAGCAGTATCTGCTCTACTTTTCTCCAACTCCTCAATTCTGCTCTTAAACTCTACATCACGTCTAGAATTCTCTTCAATAATCTGCCTCAGATTCGCGTTTTCAACCTCGAGTGCATTTTTTTCTTTTACTATCTGCTCCAATTCCAGCTTCAATGAATCTATTTCGGATAAGTACATAGATTCATCTCTTTGTGGTTGCATGCTTAATTTATATAACTTTATTAGAAATGTTCTGAAAAAGATTTTTACTACACACGTCTTGAAAAAAATTTTTTTTTTGTTAACTCCTTTAATTTAAATAAAAATTATGTAACATCCTGACCAACGGTCAGGAACTCGCCGATCACTTTTCCAAGAAATATTTTTAAAAATTCTTGATCATATGCGAGTTAATATACATCGATAACTACAATAAAATAAATAAATTCACGAAATACACATGCAAAGTAAACGCGATTATGTATGCACTGAAATCGGCCACCAGGCCAGCTTTATTAATATAAAAAATAAAAATAACTACAGGATAAATATATATATTTAGAAATTTGTATTTTTTATCTGAAGTACCTATAATTTATCGGTTGTTGACATCATTAATACCACAACGATCAGCATAAAAATCAAGTGCAAATTGAAATGCAAGACATATTATATCAGAAAATAGACTCATCAAAAATGAAGCTTATTACATTATTTTACTAATTTAACCTTCTTTTGTTTTGCTGATTCTATTAATTTTTCTGCATCTTTAAATAGCCAAACAATCTGTCCTAAGACCTCGGTAACCCCTTCCTCAAAATT